GGGGGTTTCCCCGGGCCCCCCCCTCTCCGTCCGGCGGGCCCACCCCTTTGGGGGCGCCCCCCCCGGGGGGAGGCAGCGGACCGCGCCGCCTCGCTCGCGCCCCGCCAGGCGTCGCGACGCTCGCGATCTCAAGCTCGACCGCGCCGCGAACTTCACTTCGGCCCCTTCCGGTGTACCAGTGCCCCGTGTGTGTGCGCTTCGCGCGTCTGTGTGTGCGTGCGGCCTGCAGAGACTGAAATAAAGAGCATACTGTGTCTGTTTATTTCCTATCCTCGTGTGTCTGTGTCTACGTTGTCCCGGAGTGTTCCTACACTGTGTGAGGCGGCCACCGCGTTGACGTGGTCGCGTCTGACAAGCTCGCCCACTGTGTGTGTGTGTCTGTGTGTGTCTGTGTGTGTCTGTCTGTCTGTCTGTGTCTGTCTGTCTGTCTTGTGACTGCGGCCAACCAGTGAGGCCGGCCCGTCGCGGCTTGAGCCGGGCTTTAGCAAGTGACACTGTCTGTCTATTGACACTGGCGGCGGCGCCACTGCGGCGCGAGTTTGCTCCCGCTTAGTGCGAAAAGTTGCCCGAATCTTCGCACACAGCAAGTTCTCTCTCCCCCCGTGGCGGACCGGGCCGGGGCCCGGGGCGGGGAGTGCTAATTGGCTGAGCGAAGAAGGCTCCCGGTGCGCGGGCCGCGCGGTTCGGCCGGGCGGGGCTGGCTGCTCGGGCGGGGCTGGCGGGGCTGGCGGGCAGTTATGCAAATGGCAGACACGGCCCCTGTCCACCCATGCTGGCCGTGCAGGCCGCCAGCTCGGGCGTGCCGCCGCGCGGTCCCCGTCTGATTTGCGGCGCGAGCTGACTCGGGTTCCAACTCGAGGTGGCTGTACCTCCCGGACGGCCAGTGTGACGAATGCTCTACCCAGAATTACGTCATTTTAAAATTGAACTCTGCGTTGCGCTCGTGGCACTCACTGTTGAAAAAGACGCAAGCGTCCAGCTGGAGATTGCAGGTTGAGCTGTCGCGGTCTTGAAACTCCTCCAAAAGCCGAGTGGCACTTCCTTAGAAAGTCTCAAGAAACCCGATTTGGATCGAGGCCAGGTTGGGAGCAGAGTCGCTGGGGGAAAAGCCTCGTTGCTACACTGTAGCGACGTCCTCCTTGTTTGCAGTGTGGCTTCAGGTGTGATGCCCCTCGCTTGTTTGGGGGGGAGGGGGGGGGGGAGCCAACAAACTCACTGGCCGCCTCGCCGCGCCACGCCACGCCCAGGGGCCCTATTTATTGCCTCGTTTATCGGCCGAGGGAAGTTGCGAGGCTCTCGGAATGAAATCACGTTATTAACAGGTAGCCGCTCGGATGAAGCGGCCTGTGGTTTTTGCAGTGCTGGCGCCTGGGGGAGGGTTCAGCCGTGGGTTCAGCGCCCCAGGGCCAGTGGCAGGGCCAGTGGCAGGGCAGCCGGGGGCAAGCGAGCTTATCAGGCGGAGGCTGGGGGACCTGCAGCCTGAAGATTGGACCCACAGTGGGCCAGACGACCGGTGGAGGCGGACAAAACTGTAGACGCGTTTTGAGTTCCAGAGTCGCTAAATGGGACTCGAACCGAACGTGTGACCCCACCAATGGATTGCTCTCCGAACGAGGAATCCATTGGTGGGGTCACACGTTCAGTTCGAGTCCTGTTTAGCGACTCTGGAGCTCAAATCGCGTCTAGAGTTTCGGCCGCCTCCACCTGTCGTCTGGCCCACTGTGACCCCCTTCCACTGCGAGGGGCTTGCAGGCAGACCTGCAATGCAGGGCCTTGTCGCGGGATGAGACCCTCTCCAAGCCTGGACGCGCAGTCACGCTGGGCTGCCTCTGCTGCAACGCCGGGCCGAGCGTGTCGGCGTGTCGCGGGGCTTCTTGCCCGCGGACGGACGGACAGACAGACAGACAGACAGACAGACAGACAGACAGACAGACAGCAACTTGCGGAACCTCGCCCCTTCCGCGCGGAAGTCGTTCCGGCTGAGTTATAGTCGGTCTTGTTTAAGCTGGGCCGCCCTTGATGGGCCCTTCGCAGCGCTTGGCAGCGCTCGGCAGCGCTCGGCAGCGCCTCGCGGCGACGCTGTAGAGGATCAAGGTGTTGAACAAGTTGGGGGGAGTAATTGAAAAGTAAGCCCGCGCCAGTCGAAGCCCCGCGCGCGCGCAAGTTTGGGGGGGGGGGGGGGAAGTCTGGCAGAGGCGCTGCGCCGACGACGACGACGGCAGACGACAGGATTCCTGACTTATCAAAGTCGCGAACCAAGTCCACGGAAAGTTGGAGGCGAGAGGCATTGTGTGTTTGCGTCGGGGAAACACGTGTCGGGGACCAACGCGGTGGCGTGCCGGGAGGGCGGGGGGGGGGGGGGGGGGGGGGGGTCGGCGTCACACTCAATCATGGCGCCGCCTCAGTCGGCCGCCTCGCTCCCCCACCACTCTATTTTGTCAAGACAGTTGTGTGTTTTCATTTCTCAGCCGCCCGTTTAGCAAGCCCGTGAAATCGGTGCCGCGGACGAGGAGGGGGGGGGGGACAAGGAAAAGTCGGAAACGGAGAGTGACGACCCGATTCTTCGGAATCGCCGGCCAGGTTGCACTAAAGCGACGGATGGATCGGCTGGGGTCACAGTGTGGGCAACCATATTGTAGTACGTGACCGCCGGATGAAAAAAAAAAAAAATTAAAAGGGAAAGAGAAATAATGAAAAGAAGGCGAATAAATGGCGGCTTGTCCATTAAGATGGAGCGACCCGCGCGGCCCTTAATCCGTGCCCATTAGCATTCGGGGATGAAATGCAGCGAAAGAGAGAGAAGGCATGATGGTGGAGGGAAAGGAGGGGTATGAGGATCAAGCGATGCGCACATTTTTCTCCGGGGTCGCCACCGACCCTTCGGGTCGCCTTCGGGTCGCGCTCGGGTTGCCGGCCTATCGGAGTGGCCGCTCCGTCAATTGTTTTATGATTGGCTCATTGATTGGGGCGCACCGTTTGGTCATTGCCCGCTCGTTTCCCAGTCCTGGAGTGGAAGGGCGATGAAGGGCGACCGCACGCCATGCCCGCACTCCGCGTGGGTCCACCTCCAGCGTCGTCGTGGTGTAACGGTTAGCGCGGCGGGTCACGGTGTCGAAGGTCGCGGGTTCGAATCTCGGCCGGGTCATGATGACAGAATGTTCAACGCTTGAAGTGGTAGCTGCTTTGCACTGACCACTGCTGATGGTTGACTAATCTTCTCTCTGAACCCAGGAAAAATTCCATTTTTGTTTATCGCTTGAAATCCGTGCAAATTGGACTCCGGTTTCTTTCTCTCTCTCTCTTTTTTTTTCAATTTACTCTCGCCGGTGCCGCGATACGGTAAATGCTTCCTCTCACTCCCACGCCGTGTCCGCTGGCGCGAGGCGCGAGGCGCGACGGCAGGCAGTCGTCTCTACACGGACAGCCCGCTCGCGGTGTCTACCGTGTCCGCACACTGGGTGTGGTTCTCTGCGAGCAGTGAAGTGGGTCGGGCAAATAAAATCTGAAGCGCCCGGACGCACGCGTGGAGCCCACAGTGGACCAGAAGACCGGTGGAGGCGGCCGAAATTCTCGACGCGTTTTGAGCTCCAGAGTCGCTTAACGGGACTCGAACCGAACGTGTGACCCCACCAATGGATTCCTCGTTCGGAGAGCAATCCATTGGTGGGGTCACACGTTCGGTTCGAGTCCCGTTTAGCGACTCTGGAGCTCAAAACGCGTCTAGAGTTTTGGCCGCCTCCTCCGGTCTGGGGCGTTTTCACAGTGGATTTGGCGGCATTGTCCCGCTAAGCGACGTGATGGACTGGCTTTCGATTGGCGGCTGGCGCGAGGCTGGCGCGCACTCTAAATGTTCTACAGTGAAGATTCTCCATATTATGGTGAAAAGTTCAATATGGGGGGTGCAGCGACTTCGTACATACCATTGAGAATTCACTATACCTTATAGAGATTTTGACGAATTCGTTGGTATTATGGAGAAAATCTCCACCATATTATGTTGGTGCAGCCTTTCACCGTAAGTCATTTACAGTGCGGCTCGGAGCGGCTCGGCACGGCGCGGTCGCCCCGCGGAGCGTGAACCGTGAAAAATGGCAATCGCACAGTCGTCTCCTTTCGCCGCCGTTTTTCTCGCCTTTTTTTCCGCCCGTCGTTTTATTGGCGCGAGTGCGAGAGAGACGGACGCCGGATGACGCCGCAGGGAGCGGCGCACAGTGGGCCAGAAGACCGGCGGAGGCGGCCAAAATTCTGGACGCGTTCTGAGCTCCAGAGTCGCTAAATGGGACTCGAACCGAACGTGTGACCTCACCAATGGATTGCTCTCCGAACGAGGAATCCGTTAGTGGGATCACACGTTCGGTTCCAGTCCTGTGTATAGCGACTCTGGACCTCGACACGCGTCTGGAGTTTTGGCCGCCTCCACCGGTCTTCTGGCCCACTGTGCGGCGGCGGCTTCGCGTGCAAGAGCGTGCTGTCCTCGTGGGAGGGAGGGAAGAGAGAGACAAAGGAGCGGCGGGAAAAAACGCGAGTGGCGTTTAATGTGGAAAAGGGCGGTCTCGTTTGATAGTGTGTTTCCCTGTGGATGTGGGAGAGTGTCGAGCTTGCTGTCGTTTGGCGCGAAACAAAGATAACACGTCTGTTTCTGTCTGCCTCTCTCTCTCAGGTGGCGCTCAAGCTCTCGGCCAGGAACGCGCTGTCCGTGAAGCTCGCCCTCGCGCCGACCCTCGGCGACGAGAAGAACCACCTCAAGAATGGCGACGTGTCGGAGGCCGCCCCGGCCGCCAACAACAACAACAACCACAACAACAACAACAACCAGCGGAACCACAACAACCACAACCACATCAGGCATTCGGCCGCGTCGGTAAGTGCGCTGCTTCGTCGCTCTGTCTCTCTCGCACCCCTACGAACCCCTACGGACCGCCCCGTGAGTGCGAGAGAGAGAGAGAGTCAGTGTTGCTCATGGAAAGACGGCGAGGCTCCCTGGCTCGAGGCGCCCCGCCCTCCATTGGGTCCTGCAGACCGACTTCCTCTGTCTCTCTCGCACTCGTGGAGCGCCCCGCCGCGGTGCGAGAGAGAGAGAGGCGACTGTTGGGCCTGCCGCGCGCTGAATGGTCTCAAGTGGCCGGGCGTTTGAAAAGTGTCCGTATTGAAAGCGGAGCGGACGGCACCTAGCCGCGGGGCGTGCCGCGGGGCGTGCCAGGTTTTACGAAGTAGTGGCCGTGAGGATGCTCAGCACGGCCGTCGCCTGCAGCTGTGGCGTGGCGGGGCGTCGCTTGGAAAATTCATTTTGTTGGCAAGGGAGCACACTGCGTCGCGCCGCCGTGCCGCCGTGCCGGCCGTGCCGCGCCTCTGACTTCCATTCGAGCATTGTTCGCGCATGAGCGCGCAAGTAAGGACCCTCGCGCGCCTCTCTCTGTGTGTGTGTGTGTCTGTGTGTGTGTGGGGGGGAACAACACGTGCTTAAAATGTCAAAACAAAAGGGAAACACCCCCTTCCCCTCGTTGGAATCTCTGCCGCTGCGGCCGGGATGCCCCGCCATGCCCCGCCATGCCCCGCCATGCCCCGCCATGCCCCGCCATGCCCCGCCATGCCATGCCCCGCCATGCCACGGTGCAGCGGGGAGCCGTCTGTCTCTCTCGCACTGGCGGGGCGCCCCGTTCGGGTGCGAGAGAGACAGCGACCGCCGCGATGCGATGCGACGCAGCCAGCCGTGGCGTGCTCGGCGTGCTCGGCGTGCTAGTACGTGTCGCGGCCGCTGGCCGGCGTTCCGCGGGGCAGCACCGTCGCCGCCGCGGTTTGCCGAGCCGGCGCAGCCGCATGGCAGCCGGCCTGCAGCCGGGCGTCGCGACGCTGGCGGTTCGGCCGTCCGCCGGCAGAGCGCGCTGGCGCCGCGGCGCCGGCCCCGCTGCCTGCCCGTGCTGTGCAGTGTGCTGGCGTCAGTTCAGTGCCGCCGGGTCCGCGGCGCGGTGCGGCCGTGGGGGCGTGGCGCTGGCCGCGCTGCCGGCGCCGCGCTCGACGCGTACGCCTTCCGGCCGCACGCCGCACAGTGGATTGGCCACAAGACCGGTGGAGGCGGCCACAACTCTAGACGCTTTTTGAGCTCCAGAGTCGCTAAACAGGACTCAAACCGAGCGTGTGACCCCACCAATGGATTACTCTCCGAACGAGGAATCCATTGGTGGGGTCACACGCTCCGTTCGAGCCTCATTTAGCGATTCTGGAGCTCAAAGCGCGTCGAATTTTGGCCGCCTCCACCGGTTTTCTGGCAAATCCACTTGTGCGCCGCGCGCCTCGCCGCACCTGCCATGCCCACCTGCGTGTGGAGTGTGTACACTGGGTGCACAGTGGCGCGGACGCGGCCCCGCCGAGTCCCCGCGCCACGTGCACGACGGCATGACTGAGTCATGACTTTGAACCTACGCACTCGAGACACTGCTAAGGAGTGAACCGCCGGCGGCACTGTACATTTTCCTATTTAAGGGCTTATCTTCCTTCCTAGAATGACACCGGGGCTTCTGAGTCCATGAAGAACCTATCCCTTGGCAGCATTGCCCAACTAGCAGTGTCTCACTCAACGAGCAAACCGAATGCAGCACGCGAGACGGGCTTCGACTCGAGAATCCACTGCAACATTTGGCGGCCGCGCCTGACGCAGTCGTATTCAAATTTGGCGCCTGATTTCGCTTTCATGAGGGAACTGTTTAACTTTGCGCTCGCGGCCGTCTGACCCGGCGGGGACATTCGTCTTGCGGGGGACTGGATTACGCCAAAGGGGTTTCCTCTCTCCCCCCCCCTTTCCCCCTTTTCGCTCTCCCCTCTCTCTCTCTCCTCCCCTCTCCTCCCCCCCCCCCCCCCCCCCCCCCCCCCCCCCCCGTCGGGGGTGCGAGAGAGACGGGGCGGGGTGGTGGCGCCCCCTGGGCGGCGTGGCGGTAAATCCCGCCACGCGGAGCGTACGCGGATCGGCGGCCCCTGGCGTGCCCCGCCGTGGCCGGCCAACGACAGGCTGGGCGGGATTTACAACCTGTTCCGCGTTGCACCTCCGGGACGATTACCCCACACCGTAAATCCGGAACACGATACGCCCTTAATTTATGTTTACACGCCGTCATGACGGACACGTGACACACACGCACACTCACAATGCACGCCGAGCCGTGGGGAGTAAAACCTCGTGGTGGCGATTTTTTCCTTTTTTTCGTTTCTCGTTGTTTTCGTGACGTTTTTACTTCCGACCTAGGCCAACTTGTGTATAATGCAGAGGTTACGTTGCCGCTGTGCATTGTCTCGAATATTGACTGGGCCAATTTGGTGTGTGCGTCAGGCCTTGTTGCCTGGGGGGGCTTGTCGTGCCGGCACACCGTCGGGGCGGGGCGGGGCCCGTCTTGGCGTCTCCCTGATCACGAATTTATGGGCGAATAAAGCCGTAACAAGGAAGCGCAGTGGGGCCGCAGGGCCGCGGGGCGGATAGAAATGTTTTACAGTGCGGCAGGAGGAAAAGGGCCCGCGGCGCTGGCAGCCTGACGTGCCCTATCGCGCGGACTAGCGCGCACACCGCCGCCACGTCATGTCCCCGACGGCACAAACCCCCGATTTGCTCTCCGCGTCGCTGCTATTTTTCTTTTTATCGAGGGGGTTGTTATTTGGTTATCCGTCTCTGAACCAGGCGCACGTCTTTCCTTTTTCACTCTGCGCCCCCTGCTCCGCCCACTTTCTTCCCCCGCCTCGCTGTGTGTGTGCGTGCGTGTGTTGGTGTGTGTGTGATTCGTGTTTACGATTGTCATTTCGCCCCTTTACTGCCGCGTGTATTTTATTACCTGGCTCGTTTATGCCCGTTTATTTCCCTAAAGGAACCTCCCTCCGCCCCCCCGAGGCCGCGGAGGGGGCCGCGGCGCGAGAAGGCTATGGAAATCGTAAACACGCTTTTTAGGTCACCACTAAAAATGGAATTTGAGTTGGTAATGTTAGTGGGCACGATGACGACGCGTTATCGCCGGATGGCTCTGTTGTGCGGCCAAAGCCCCAAGCGGACGGAGTGCGCCAGCGCCACAGTGGGCCAGAAGGCCGGTGGAGGCGGCCGAAACCCTAGGCGCGTTTTGAGCTCCGGAGTCGCTAAATGGGACTCGAACCGAACGTGTGACCCCACCAATGGATTGCTCTCCGAACGAGGAATCCATTGATGGGGTCACACGTTCGGTTCGAGTCCTGTTCAGCGACTCTGGAGCTGAACACGCGCCTGGAACTTTGGCCGCCTCGGGCCGCCTGGCGGGTAGGCCGTCCCGGACGCAGGCCTGTTCGACGGGACGGCATGCCGCGGACCGGCAGGCGGCGTCGACACGACACTGCAGTGTGGCCACGCCGCCCGCGAACGGCTCTGTCTCTCTCCCACCCCGCCGCCACCGGCCGCCACGACGCGCGAGTGCGAGAGAGACGGGGCGTGCCTGATTACATCTGGATTATCCGGTCGGCTTGCGGTGTGATGCCATTAGCAGTGTGATGGAGTCGGACCGACCGACTGACTGACTTCCAGTGTGCGAGTCACGCCGCCACGTTTGTTGTTGTTGTTTTTTTTGCCGCCGTTTGTTTTATGTTTTGTTTTTTCTTGTCGTCAGAGATGAAAGCACGACAGGGCGTCGATTAATCGAAGTGGGCGCCGGGGTGGCAGAACGGAGAAGGGAGAGTTTATAAAATGAAAATTGTTGTTTTGGTGTGTGTGTGTGAGAGAGAGGAGAGGGGGGGGGGGGGGGGGAATCGTAACGTCTTGGGCGACATTCCGAGTACGTTTCCAGGACGTCCTTCTCTGCGAACGTGTGTGTGCGTATGTGTGTGTGTGTGTGTGTGAGAGAGTTTTGCAGTCACGCAACCGCGACGTGTGTGTGTGCGTGCGTGTGTGCGGCGGTGCGTGGCGCCTCGCTATAGTGCGCTCACGCACACAGACGCAGGTGCGCACACACACGTCGGCGCGCCAATCAGGGCTCAATTAACGCACGAATGGCTTAATAGAAAGGGTTCGCGGAACGCACCGCCTTCTTGTTGTCGGACCCGCCGTGTCGCTCGCACCGCGGGCACGTTCTGCGCGGCGAGTGTGTGTGTGTGTGTGAGTGTGATCCGCGAATGGTCAGTCTGCCACGGTCCGGTCCGAGAAAGACACGCTGTGCTGCAGCGAGTCAGCAAGCGAGCGCTATATATATGTTTCATAACTTTTTTGCCGTGTTTGTTTGCTTCACTTTGTCGTGGACATAAGGGCGTACACTGTGGGAGAAAGCCTTGCCTGCTGTTGAGACGAGTGAGACTTGACTTTTGCGAGGGTAGCGGCGTGTGGCGGCGGTCGGGCTTCCCCTCTCACTTCCCCCTCGCGGCACACTGCGCGGCACACTGCGCGGCACACTGTGCGGATGGCTGGCCGGCGTCGCGCGCGCGTAGCGGAGGGAGGGCTCGACGCGACAGACGGCATCAAGTTGTCAACGAGCCTGAGGGGGGGGAGGAGGAGAGAGAGGAGAGGAGAGGGGGAAGGGAGGAGGGAGAGGGGGGAGAGGGAGAGAGGGGAGAGAGGGGGAAGAGGGAGGGAGAGGGAGGGAGAGGGAGAGAGAGAGGGGGGGAAAAGAGAGAGAGAGAGAGAGAGGAGAGAGAGAGGGGGAGAAGAGAGAGAGAGAGGGGGGAGAGGAGAGAGAAAGGGTTGTGCGAAGGGGGTTGCCCTGCGCCGTGGGGGTTGTCCAGGCCGCGTGCGGAGCCCCTACCGCCTAGAGGGCCTGTAGGGCCTGGGGGGCCTGGAGCGCCTCCATTACGCCCCGCGCGCCCTTTGACGCGGGACGACCTGACCGCGGGGAAGGGCCAGGCGGGGCTGGCGGGGCTGGCGGGGCTGGCGGGGCTGGCGGGCGGGGCGTCGCCCCAAAAGGGTTTGCCAGCTTTAATGACCGGCGAGACGCCCTTCTGGGCCACTCCGGGGACTCCGCGGCCCTCCCGCGCTGGAAGTGACAGTCCCACTCACTCACTCACACACACACACACACACACACACACACACACACGGTTGTGAAGGGCTCGCGGGGTTTAGCCGCTGGTAACCTGTTGGCTGGCGAAACATGCCGGCCAGACTAAGGCGTTTTGTTGAGTCCGTGCTACATGAGTGTGTTTGTTGTGTAGCACACGCGTCTGTCGGTGTGTGCTCCGTTTGGAAGCTCGTCGCGCTTCGCGGATTCCCTCCTAGCCCTGCGTTTGCCCGCGGGAGCGAGCGAGACGACATGTGTGTAATGTGTGCGTGCGTCATGGCTGACGGAGTTGGCTGGCTTGTGCCAACGCAGACACAGATTGAGTCTCAAAGGCGCCCCGCCCCGCCCCGCCGTTTCTGGCGCAAATGTTTTCCGGGGCGGTAAACGAGGGGCCGTGGTGTTGGGTAAATAGCCCGTCTAATTGGGGTTGGCACGCAAACGCCTGCCGCGCTCCGCTCACACCAACCTCGCCCCGCCGCGCCGCGCCAGCCGAAAAGTTGGTCTGAACGCGGCGAACGCGCCCCCACCGCCCGTGCGGGCCCTGCACACACGCGCGTGCCTCTGGCCGTGTGTTTGCCGTGCGCATTGCTGCCGTGCTTTGCGTGCACTTTCGATGCTGTGTACGCTCGTGTGTACGTGTTGTACACCGTCCGCGGGGCGGCCGCTGGTTCCGATTTTACATTTTAATTTTATTCCTTTTGCATTTTGGTTCCCCAAAAAAATGGCGTTGTCTCTGCGAGCAGTGTGGAAAAACCGCGCGGTGCACGTGTGGTCCTCCGGCCGGCTCGCCGCGGCTCGCCCGAGCGGCCCCTAATTTAATTCTCTCACTGATCCGCCGCTTTTGTCCCTCCTTTTTTGTGCCGCCAAAGTGGCCATGTTTCCGGGGCGTTTCGGGGCAAGACACGACAAAGGACTCCTTTCGCCGCACCCCTACTGGTCCTGGTTCCATTGATAAACCCCCGCATTACTGGGGCTTTTCGAGTTCGTGCCGCGCGGACAGCACTTGTCTCCTGCCGTCTGCTGTGGTCGACAGCTCGGCTCCTACCGATCCCTCCTACCCGATCCCTCCTACCCGATCCCTCCCACACGGTCCCTCCTACCCGATCCCTTCTACCCGATCCCTTCTACCTGATCCCTCCTACCCGATACCTCCTACCCGGTACCTCCTACCCGGTACCTCCTACCCGATACCTCCTACCCGATCCCTCCTACCCGATCCCTCCTACCCGATCCCTCCTACCCGATCCCTCCTACCCGATCCCTCCTACCTGATCCCTCCTACCCGATACCTCCTACCCGATCCCTCCTACCCAAAAGCCCCTACTCGACGCCCCCTCCCCTCCTTGACCTCCGTGACGTGAATGCTTCGCTGAATGCCAACGACGCTGGCAATAACGAATCGATGGCCGCGCCACGCCGTCCTCGTGCTTTGCGGCTTGTCGTCGGCTCGTCGTCGGATTGCCGTCCGGACGGCCGCGCCGCGCCACGCCACGCCGGCCAGGACGACGACGGCGTAATAAAGTGGCGTAATTGAATTTAAAATTGCGCGCGGTTGCGTGTCGGCGCGCTCTTTTTATTTTTCCGACGGTTTTTTTGTTTCTCTTAGTTTCTTGCCGTAAGTCGGAAGGGCAACGGGTGGAAAGAATGAGGCGCTTTGTGAGGACTTTGACTTGTCGCGCCGCGTATTGGTTCAAGTGCGGCAGGAAAGTAGCACAGAACTGCGTCAATATTAGCTCGAGCTCTGGCTCGCGTCCACGCTGTCGGCCGGGCATTGTCTCGGCGAAGGCCACGTGGCCATCTTATTTTCCACCGCTTGCCCGCTCGAAATTTGTACTTTTGGCTCGAAGGGTCTCTTTGTTGAGTCAACATTCTCATCAGAATTTTCTCAGCACCCATTTAAAGCCTCCGTACTTTTTGTTTTGTGGAACTAAACCGGTGGGGTCTCAATTTACGCAGGTTTTAAAGAGGTTTCTCTCCTGTCTGTTTCAGGGCAACCTCGATGTTGGCACCAGTGACGATTCTGGACGAGCTTCCGAACGGCTAAACGGCGCTTCCGTCGACACCTCGCACGACCGACTGAGCGATGTAAGTATGGCCCCGTCCCACCCCCTCCCTCCCTCGGAGGGTAAGTCAGCCTCGTCTTAGGGTGTGGCGGTTTTCAAGGTATCTTTGCCGCGCGTCTCTCTAGCGCATGTGCCGCTGCCAGCGATGTGGGTGTGTAGATTCTCCTTTTCTTATGTGTGTTGTAAATTTATTTTTATTTTTTTTTAATCTTGTTAAATATCTGCCGGTTATGCGTATCGGATGGAACGCGTTTCAAGAAGCAGAGCACTGCTCGATTTCGAGATAGCTTTGTGTTCTTAATAATATGATTATTATTAAATAATGTGAGCTGCATCAACGGGGATGTGGCTTCAAAGACTTTCAATAATATTTTTTTTGTTTTGTTGTCTAAATTTAAACGCGTTGAATCCCTCTGCCTGCATGAAGCGCCCAGTACTCACACCAGGGACGTGTGGGGTGCTGCTTGTAGTGCATTGTGCTCGAAGTCAAGTTGGCAGCACTCCCGCTACACCGTTAAACCCCCACCGGCGGGAACGTTAACGTTCTGTTCGGCCGGGGGCGTTTAGCTGCGTAGTTCCTTGTAAATAGCAATTTTGGGGATGGAGGTTCACCCTTTCCTATCTGTGCAGACTGTGTGGGCAGTTGTTCCTCTTGCCGCCTGTTTCTTTTGAAGAAGATTATTGCTTTCTAGCAGACTTTGCCTGTCTGTCGAACAATAACAACATTGATTTTTTTGTAACTGGAACATAATTTTGATCGATGAATTTAGGCTGTTGAACAAACAAGGAATTCTTGTATTGAACCGGAAGGGGCTACGATGGTCTCTTGACGAGATTTGTCTGCACGCTGCAGCTGATAAATTTACTTGGATTGCCGCATAGATAAATTTGGGGACTTAAGCATCGCTTTCATATTTGGACGCATAATTTTTTGAGCTGTAGGAATTAAAAGGGGTTTGGCCGACCTCCGAGGAGAACGTTCAGTCAGCCGGTATCCCTAAAGCGGGGAACAATTTCCAAAACAAAAATGTGGTTGCTAGTTTTTTGGGAGTTTGCTAAGAAGTCTAATCGTGCTGGCTAACATTCCTGCCTGTAACCCGCCCACCTCTACGGCCCCGGTATTACTCCTTGTACTACTAGCGTGCTGGCCGGACGCACATTTTACTATCTATGTGTTAGTTTGCACCCGAAACCCAAAAGCGCTTTCTCTGCCCCGTTTAATCTTGGCCATTTCGAACTTATTTGTGTTTGCAGGGGAGCAGTCGATGCAGTTCTGGAAGGGGATATATCGTGAGTACTCAGTTTTTCATTTTCGTATTTTGTCGTTGCTTGTGTAGTGTGCTTGTTCGCCTTGACGCGCGCTTCTTGTGTGAGTGCTTGTTTGACTGCTGGGCATGTAACTCGTGGAGAGAGAGCGTGTGTGTGTCCTCGTTGGTGTTGATGAGGCTGTGCGACATCCACACCGTTGGCACGCCCCGTTCGGCGAGGCGCCTGGCAAGAGAACAATCTGCACAATCTTCTCCCCCCCCCCCCTCCTCTCTCTCTCTCTCTCTCTCTCTCTCTCTCTCTCTCTGCGTCTGCCCCTCCCTCCCTCTTCCCTCCTCTGGCTGTTCCGGCGGGGGGGTTGCGCCGTCTCCAAATTACACACGCCTCTCTTCTTCTTCTTCTTCTTCTTCTTCTTCTTCTTCTTCTTCTTCTTCTTTCTTCTTCTTCTTCTTCTTCTTCTAACAAGATGATGAGCGAAGGCCTTTGGTGGACACACTGTTTAGCCGATGAAGCGACAGGCGACGCGTTCCGGCGCCGCCCCCTCGGTGCCTGCGTAGCCTGCGCTGTAAAACGTAAATATGGCGAATCCTAATTGCGAGCCGGAGGGGCCCTTTAAGGGGCGGTTATGGCGCAGGTGCAAAAGGGGAGGGGGGCTTTGCAACCCCCATCCCCCCTCTCTCTCTCTCGCTCTCTCTCTCTCTCTCTCTCTCTCTCTCTCTCTCTCTCTCTCTCCTCTCTCTCTCGCTCTCTCTCTCTCTCGCTCGCTCGCTCGCTCGGTGCTCCCGCCTAATAATTAATGGGTTGGTAATTGGCAATCGTCGTGTAATGAGATGAGCCGCCCTCTGGCCCGGCCTGGCCGCCCGGACCGCCCCGGGGAGAGAGAGAGGGGAGGGAGGGTCCCCTCGGCGGTAACACCTCGGCTTACATAGCTTTGCATGCAGGTATGTTGGCGGTTTGTTTTCCTCGTAGCGGTCGTGGTCGCTCCCACAGTGGTGGGGTCTCTGTAAACGCCTCTCTCTCTCTCTCTCTCTCTCTCTCTCTCTCTCTCTCTCTCTCTCTCTCTCTCTCTCTCTCTGGCTGTGTGCAAAGAATGCGGTGTTTGAAATGAATCGCACACCCGTAACTCGGAAACTAAACTACCGCTTTTTTTTGCGGTGTAGGGCGGCCGGAGCCCGGAGGCTTCCGCATCATTAATCCCAACCCTCTCGCTGCCTGGGGCGGCGCGGCCGAAGGCGCGGCGGTGCGCTCACTGTAAACGCGGCGTTATTTGACATATTTGGCGGCCAGCGAAAACTGGCAGTGGTGTGCTGCTGCTTTGAGACGCGCGAGAGCGAGAAACGGTTCCTCTTCCTTAAAAGGCGGGTAATATGCAAACCGACCGACCGACGGACCGACTGGATCGCGATGCGATAAAAGTAAATAATTAAGGGTTTCTGGCTCGGCGTGTTTCCCCATTAGCCACGGCGAAATGCTCTGCACACACACACACACACACACACACACACACATGGAGGGAGTTTCTGACATCCGCAAAGCAAACGCGTGCAAACCATCTCGCCGCGCCTCGGGGCATCCAGGCAAGCCACTGCGCCCGCATCTACAATTCACCCACACCCACCCACACACACATACACGCACACGCCTTGTTTATACTAGGCATTGCTGCTTCATTCATATTCATTTGCCGGCAGTATAAATACCGGTAGCAAAGGCAGCGAGCAGCACGCGTCCGTCGCGCATCTGGCGCAAACGTCTCGAACGCTGGCAATCCATTCGCGTCACGTGTGTGTGTGTGTGTGTGTGGTGTGTGTGTGTGTTGTGTGTGGCGAGATCGGCTGAACATGGGGTATCGCCGTGACATGACAATCACGATGTAATGTGCCTGCTTGCTTTCCCATGATCACTACCTTTCTGTGTTTGTGTGTGTCCGTCGTACGTCGTGCTGTTTTTTATTTTTTGCTTGTTGCCGTGGCGTGTGTGTGTGCGTGTGTGGCAATGGCCGAATGCACGGCACAGGCGAAAAAGGAGCAGAAAGAAGACCCCGCGAAGGGGGGCGGGAAGAGTCGTCGTGGAAACGGCCAAACACAATCCGGAAGGAAAAATGACAGAAAGGAGACAGACGTGCATCCGCTGGTTTTTTTCTTTCTCCCTCCCTCTCTTTTCACTCTCTCTCTCTCTCTCTCTCTCTCTCTCTCTCTCTCTCTCTCTCTCTCTCTCTCTCCGCGTTGTTGCGGCCGTTTCCAGGGCTCTCCTTTGATGACCGCGCCGAGTGGTTGGAGGGGTCGCGCGGAATATTGAAATGGCGGTCTTCTTCTTCTTCTTCTTCTTCTTCTTCTTCTTCTTCTTCTTCTTCTTCTTCTTCTTCTTCCCGTTCGCGCTGCGCTCGGCTTGATAACCGCAGTAAAGCTCGCCAAAGCGCGCGCCGCCTCGCAAGTCGTTAAAAGTTTTAAAGCTGCAATTATGCTGTTTGTGGGGCATTTTTCTTGAGCCTACACTGCCATTTTTCGCGACGCAGCGGCTCCGGGGGCCTTCCTTCGCGGTCCGCGCCACGGTCACCCCCTCGAGCGTCGTCTCGAGATTGTTTTGCGTCGCCGAGCTTTTCTCTCTCTCTCTCTCTCTCTCTCTCTCTCTCTCTCTCTCTCTCTCTCTCTCTCTCTCTCTCTCTCTCTCTCTCTCTCGTTTTGCTCGAGACCTTTTTATTTTGTAGATTTTTTCCGCTCCGTTTAATTTGCTGTCGCCTCTTTGCGGCCCGCGGTGTGAGTTTTTTTTTTTTTTGTTTGGTTTGTTGGCGGCGCTGTTCGGCCTGCACTGTGTCCGCGGTGCCTGGAGTCTGCCTGGAGTCTGCCTGGAGTCTGCCTGGAGTCTGCCTGGAGTCTGCCTGGAGTCTGCCTGGAGTCGCCTGGAGAGAGACGTCCGAGTCGTCGCACTTTTAATAGTCATGCATATTTCATACCGCCATAGCCAGACAGTCGCTCTTATCTGGGCCGGCCTCGTCGGGCGACGGCGACGCGCCCCTGTCGCTCAGCCCTATTGGATGAAAATGGCCTCTGTGTGTGTGTGTGTGTGTGTGTGTGTGTAACAACACCACCCCCAACAACACCCGCAGTAGTAGTAGTAGTAAACTTGTAAATGTTTGCGATCGGATAGTACACGACCACTTTTGTTTCATCGCCTCTGTGTGTGTCCGTGTCCCATATCCGTCTGGAAAGTTTTTCCACCTGTGTTGTCTTAGTGACGGTGTGCTGCCCTGGCGCTGCCGCTGTCATGTTGGTGTAACGTGCGCCCCATTCTCTCTCTCTCACGCACACACACAGGGGGCCAAAGCCGCGTGGCATTTGCGTTGGCAGCCCAAAGGGAGGCACGATGGCGTTGAAGTTGCCTCCCAGAATGGCCCTGTGCGTTTGGCGGCGTCGTCGCCGCGGAGCGATTACGCGCGCGCGCCACGTTGTTCATTACTTTGACTGACTTGTCCAAAGTGGATTCCCCCCTGAATGGCTTCGCCGGCTTTTGCGGCCCTCGGACACGTCATGGGCCGATGTGTCGAGATAGGTAAAGCCCTTTGAGGCGGCCGGCCTGCGTGCGGGTCACGCCCCCGTGGGCCCTCGGCGGGGCCCTCGGCGGGGCCCGGGGGGCGGGTCAATGCGAAGGGGTTGGCCCTGCACTGGCCTGCCTGGCGGGGCGGCCCCAGGCGGCCCGCAGTGGAGGATGGCCCTCGTCGGCGTCGACACGGCCCTGGGCACCCTGGGCACCCTAGGCACCCTGGGCTGTCGGGGCCCGCTTCGCCACCTCCGCCACGCCGCCATGCCCGAGGTGATGGTGCTGAGCGGTGCGCTCGCCAGCCTGATAGAGACGCTGGCCACCCTGCCCGTGCACGTCATCCTGCTGCCCAGCCTGGACAAGGACGAGGTGGGGAACTCCGTTGCCGCGAAAGTCTGTCGTCTTGACGCGCGGTGTTGACGCCGAATTTCGGAGTTTGTCTTCGGCAGTACGTACACCGGCCCTCAGTGGGCCAGAAGACCGGTGGCGGTGGCCAAAATTCTAGAAGCGTTTTGATCCCCAGAGTCGCTAAACAGGATTCGAACCGCTCGTGTGACCCCACCAATGGATTCCTCGCTCGGAGAGCAATCCATTGGTGGGGTCACACGTTCGGTTCGAGTCTCATTAGCGTTTCTAGAGCTCAAAATGCGTCTAGAATTTTGGCCGCCTCTAACGGTCTCCTGGCCCACTGTGCGGCCGGCTTGTTGCGTAACACTGTAACAATGGTCGGCCCTGAAGGTGACCGCGGCGTTAATAGAGCCGTTCTGGAATCGTTCCTGGAACTATTTGCGGCCGCAGCCCCAGCAGCCTCGCGCTTTGAGCGACACGGCGCGCGAGCGGTGCGCTCTGTCGGCTCGGAATTGGCTTAGTTTGTCGCTGTTGAGCCCCATGCAGACCGCTGCCCGGGGCGGGCCTCCACCTCCACTTTGGTCCCGTCTCTCTCTCTCTCTCTCTCTCTCTCTCTCTCTCTCTCCTCTCTCTCTCTCTCTCTCTCTCTCTCTCTCTCTCTCTCTCTCTCTCCCCCCCTCCCTCCCTCCCCTCCCCTCCCCTCCCCCTCGGACAGGGCGGAGGCGAAATAATCCTTCGCGCCTTGCCGAGTCGCGCCACCTCCATTTCCCCCATGGTGAAAGAGTTAGAGACGTTTGGGTTTTTTACGGTGTCGAGTCTGTTGGGAGCGAAGCGCTGCACGGTGTTCAAATTACTCACTTTATTCGGCCATTAACCTGTAGTAGTTTGTAGTGTGGCGCCGCCGCGATAATAACGAAAATCAACAAACGAGTTCCGAAATTAAAATACTTGATGCGTGCCGCGCGTTGCACGATTACGGCTCGCAGGCGCCGAAAATGCTGGAGCCTCGCGCGTCGCGTCGCATCGCGTCCCCCCTCTTGGCTCGCAGTCCGCGAGCTTTCCCGCGGGCCCCCAAGGGGCTCCCGCAGGGCTTGCGGGAAGCTTTTCATCGGCTTTCCGAAGCTTTGAGCGGCGGGCCGCGAGATCGTCCCGCCCCCCCTGCGGAGCCGGTCTGGAGGCCCCTCGCCCGCCCTCGCCGAACCCCCTGTGAAGTTGCCAGTCTGGTTGGCGGGGCGGGGCGGGGCGGGGCGGGGCGGCCCTACTTACCGACTCGGCGATATCAAGTTGTTATTACTCTTGCGCTACAACTTTACGATTTACGGTGTGGGGGCCTCGTCGCCGCGTTCGCCGCGCCTCGGAAGTTATCCATCTCCACCTCCGGAGCTCGGCGCTTCGCTAGCAGCAGCGGCCCACACTTTATTTCCGTTTTGTCCTCGCGGGGACGGTTAAAAACAGAGTAAAAGAAAAATACAAAAGTAAAAAGTGGGAGGAAAAACGGATTAAGGTGTCACCCAGTCAGTACACTGGAAAATAAAGGACCGCTGTCCTGAGGGTTTCTTAGGTCCCTCGGCTCTCTGTCATCTTTTCCAAGGTGTTCCTTATGGATCCACAGGATTTTTTTCGAAGCTCTCGCCGAAACCAAATTAAGTGGGTCTGCGGTGCCGTGCTGTCCTCGTGCCCGTCAGTGGGTCTCTGGAGGCGGCTCACTGCACTGGAAACCCCCAGCATCTTCCTTTTCCCGCGTGCCTCTCGAAGCGCGAGGCCGAGTGAAGTGAGCGAAGCGCCGGCGACGCAATTTCAATTTGGCATTGGCGGATGCCGGCGGGAGATGGTGAGGAAATTGGATTCGTCTCGGCGAGGCTGGCTGTCCTGCTCCTGGCCCGGGGCTTTTGCTGAGCTGCCTGCCTGACCTGCCTGGGTCCTGCGGCTGCCTGCCTGTCCTCTGCTGCCTGCTCGTGCCTGGTGCCTGCCTGGGCCCTGCCTGCTGCCTGCCTGGCTGCCTGCTCTGCCTTCCTGCGCTGCCTCCTGGCGCCTGCCTGGCTGCCGCCTGGCTGCCGCCTGGCTGCCGCCTGCTGCCTGCTGGCTGCCTGCTGGCTGCCTGCCTGGCTGCCTGCCTGGCTGAGGCCTGCCTGGCTGCCTCCCTGCTGCTGCTGGCTGCGCCTGGCTGCTCCTGCTGCCTGCCTGCCTGCCTGCCTGCCTGCCTGCCTGCCTGCCTGCCTGACCGACTGCCGGTAGCTGCAGTCTCCAGGCCAGGCAGTCTCCCTGGAAGTCGTCTAGCTTTCGAAACAATTATCAGGCGCCCCACCCTCTGTGGGCGTGGCGGGGCGGGGCGGGGCGTGGCGGGGCGTGGCACCCTGTAAAGTCAATAACGAGGTAATGAATACAAAAGGACGGCCGTCTGCTCCCATCCCTCTCACTGGCCGTCTGGCTGGCGCGCTGCCGCCGACAAAGAGAGGCGAAATGTGATGAATGACTAACCTTTTAGCTTTGTCGGTTGCCACCATTGCATCGAGGTGGGAAATAAAACGCCCAGTGACGCCTGGATGTAATGAAAGGGCGCTGTCGCCCTGTCTCTGTCGCACTCGCGGTACGCATGCCGGCGTGTGGGTGCGAGTGAGACAGACTCGCGGTTCGGCCCTCCGGTTCGGCCCTTCGGTCCTTGGCCCTGATAAATCTCTTACGCCCCGCAGCAATTAGTCACGCGCGGGACGGAGAGAGACTGAAATTAAAGAGAGAGAGAGGAAAAAAAATAAACGGAATGAAGATGGAGAGGGAAGGTGCCGGAAAAAATACTGCCGCTTTTAGGAGAGAGGGAGATTCGCGCTCGTCTGCTTTTTTTTTTCTTTCTCTCCCTTTTTTGTATTTGATGTCCCTTTGATTACGCCGTCATCGCTTTTCCGGCTGTCTCTCTCGCTCTGATGGATGAGTTAACTCGGGTAATTGATTGTAGAGGCGTAGGTGGCGCGGCCCCGCGGCCGAGGCGGTCTTGTTGGTGTTGGCCACGCGGCGTGGTTTGGCGGGCTGTTTATTGGGCAGACAGACAGACAGACAGACAGACAGCGCGCGGCCAGTGGAGGCAGGCGGCTGCGGCGCGCGCGGTGGCTAGCGCCGTGGCTGCAGGCACCCCAGTTGCACCGGGCTGTGTGGCGGGACAGTCTACCGCCGCGGCGCTCCCAGCCGGGCCGAGCACTGGGCCAGAGGACCGGTGGAGGCGGACAAAACTCCGGACGCGTTCTGAGCTCCAGCGTCGCGAAGCAGGCCTCGAACCGAACGTGTGACCCCACCAATGGATTCCTCGTTCGGAGAGCAATCCCGAGGGGGAAATCACTCTTAAAAACTGTGACCCGACTACTCCCTATTACGTTCTATTACGCTATTACAGAAGGCTTATTACGCTCGAAAATATCCAGATTTGGGCTAAAATCAGACTCAAAATAGGGAAAATTTTAAAAAATTTGGCTGTTACGCTATTACTATTACGCGTAATACTAGGAATCGGTGACCCGACTATTACGCGAGTGATTTCCCCCTCGAGCAATCCATTGGTGGTGGGGTCACACGTTCGGTTTGAGTTCCATTTGGCGCCTCTGGAGCTCAAAGGGCCTCCACCGGTCTTCTGGCCCACTGTGGAGCGGAGGCAGGGCGACAAACATGGCGAGGCCCCCAAAATAAAGAAGGGCCCGCGACGGGAAGAAGGGCACACGTTCGGTTCGAGTCCCATTTACTGACTCTGGAGCTCAAAACACGTCTAGAGTTTTGTCCGCCTCCACCGGTCTTCTGGCCCGCTGTGCCGAGCCGAGCCGTGCCGGGCTGGGGGCGGGTTGTCGCTTATTGTCTGCTAATTAGGTGGGGCAATTAGCAAGCGAGGTGTAACTTTATTGGGCGGGTGCCGCTGTGCGTGTGTTTGTGTGTGTGTGTCTGTGTCTGCCTGTCTGATGTAGGTGTGCTGCGTTTATATCTGTCGGGCTGGATGCGCCCAGAAATAAATTTCTCACTTTTTTGACGCGGGCGTGCAGATATTTTGTGTGTGTCTTGGTGAGCCATTGTGTGCATGTTCGTATGTGAGTGTGTGTGTGTGTGTGCGTGCTGGCGTGCGACTGAGACGCTAGTTATGAAAATGGCGCGTCTTTTACCACTGAAGCCTGCCCTAATGGTCCGTCGGTGCGCCGCTACCTTGCACGTTGCATGCGCCTCCCCTCGCCTCCCCTCCCCTTTCCTTTGCACCTGCACCGCACCACGACGGACAAGCAGCAGTAGCAACACCGGCAGCAGCGCCTTTTTCTCTCTCTCTCCCTCCCTCTTTGCGAATAACTGTCGGCAGTACGTAGCAGCACGCCTCGCGAACAAGCGAACAACCACAGACCGCGAGCTGAGCGCATGCGGCGCGGTGACTGCGTCTAAATGGGCCGCACGGCACTGCAATCTTTGTTTCCTCTCTCTCTCTCTCTCTCTCTCTCTCTCTCTCTCTCTCTCTCTCTCTCTCTCTCTCTCTCTCTCCCTCTCTCTCTCTCTCCTCTCTCCCCCCCCCCTCAGCCCATCCCGAGAACCTGTCCGCCTGGTACTTATTAGGTTGTTGAGCCGCGCGTAATGTGCCGAGCCAAGTATCATAGTGCCGTGGGGGTCCTCGTGTTGTTGTTGTTGCTGGTTGGTTGTTTTGCGATGCGCTTTTGTTGCTTGCCGCTCTCCTCATTTTTTTATTATTTTCGTTTTGTTTCTGTTGCTTCTTTTTTACTTACGTTGCCCCCTTTTGTTTTTCTGTTGCAGTGTGATAGTGAGGGCGAGGACGATCGGGTAAGTTGTCGAGCTTTGGCGCGGGTGCACTGTGTTCCCCGCCTTACGGAGTGCCGGCCTTGCAGGCCTCGCAGTGCACTGCCGGCCCGCGTGTTGTTGGCAGTGGCGTGCCGCGTGGTGAAGCAAACAGAATGTACACAGGGGTGCCTTGGTGCACTGCCTGCACCGCCTTACTAATTCAGGGAGCCGGGGGCAGGAAATCGGGTCGCGTGGGGTCCTCTTCGACGGGCCCATCGCTTTTCCGGACTCTGTCACGCACGCCGAGGTTGGGTCCGCGCGACGCACAGTGGGCCAGAAGACCGGTGGAGGCGGAAAACTCTATTTGAGCTCCAGAGTCGCTAAACGGGACTAGAACCGAGCCCGTGACCCCACCAGTGGATTGCTCTCCGAACGAGGAATCCATTGGTGGGGTCACACGAGCGGTTCGGGTCCTGTTCAGCGACTCTGGAGCTCTGCACGCGTCTAGACTTTAGGCCGCCCTCACCGGTCTTCTGGCCCACTGTGCGACATGGCGTGGATGCGACCGCCCTTGCAATCGCTCGCGTCATCGCGGTGGTGTCGTTTCGGGCTTGTTTGAACCGACTCCCTTTCCGACTGTAAACGGCGAGGGATCGCACCATCGCCGCCTATCGCGCCGCCAAATGTGTTGTTTGCGTGAACGGGCGCGGTCGTGATCCGATAGTCGCCCGCACCCCGTTTTGCCGCTTGTGTGTATTTATTGTGGCGTCTCGCTTTGCCGTAGTGTTTTTGTTGTTGGTTTTTATACAGTAGTTAGGCGCACTTTCGCTTATCTGCACGGCCTTCTAACTCGGGAGTCGTGTAATCAACGCAGGCGGGGTGTTTATAACGGTAGACTTAAAACCCTGCTTTGAATAGCGAGTTTAGAGAAAAGAAAATGTGACAAAAAACTTTTTTTGCGCGTGAACTAGCTTTCGATCAGTGGGCCAGAAGACCGGGACCCTACCAATGGATTGCTCTCCGAACGAGGAATCCATTGGTGGGGTCACACGCGCGGTTCGAGTCCCGTTTAGCGACTCTGGTGCTGGAAACGCGTGTCGAGTTTTGGCCGCCTCCGCCGGTCTTCTGGCCCACTGTGCCACGGTCCCGTGTCCCGCGTGACGAGAAGAGGAAAATCCTCTGCGACTCGTGTTAGACTTTGCGTGTTCGTGTCGCAGCTTTTCCGGGTGGGAGACCTAACCATGCCGCGTCGCGTCGTTCTTCGGTGTAGAAGTGGCCCTGCGGACTCGTTATTTTACTAGAAAGAAAAAATCCTTTATTTTTGGTGATTACCGGCGTCTCCTGTATTTTTAAAAGGTATTGGCAATGAAATTAGTTGCACCGGATGATTCAGACCCCAAGGCCCTCTGGTGGTCTAGAGCAATTTGTGAGAGTTGTGTGCCGGGGGATCGAAGCCGGCCCGGCTGTGGCTTTGTCCGTCTTTGGCGTGCTCCCTGAGTGGCGCCGCTGGATCCGCCCCCGGTGGGGCGCCGGTCGGAGGCAACGTGGCGTTTCGGTGCTGGCCGGCCCGGGCGGCCCGTGGCGCGTCGCCCGGTCGCCACGTATTGGTGGGTCGATTGGCCCACGTGGCGACACGTGGTTCGCCGGCATGGGCCGCCTTTGCGCGGCAATGCCGCTGGCTTTCCGACTAGGGCGGCGCGTCAGCGCCCTCCAGGAGCGCCTTGCAGAAACAAGGTCTTGGAGAAAGTTTCAGGGCGGGGAAAAATTTTTCCGTCGAACCGAACGTGTGACCCCACCAATGGATTCCTCTTGCGAAGAGCAATCCATTGGTGGGGTCACACGTTCGGTTCGAGCCCCATTTAGCGACTCTGGAGCTCAAAACGCGTCTAGAGTTTGGGCCGCCTCCACCGGTCTTCTAGTCCACCGTGCGGTTCATTCCGGATTCCCTTTCCGCCGGCCGCGGAGGCGGCGATGTGTTTCGACTGCGGTCGTGTTTTCGGCGGGAAATGTTGATTCTGGAAATGCTCGCTCTGGAGGCGGGGGCAGGCGAGCCCGCGTCACTTTGGCGCTTCACCGGCCGCTCGGCGGAGCTCGGCGAACCGCCGCCGCGCCGCCACCGCCGTGCAGCTTCAAAGGTGTGGCGATATGGAGACGTGAATAATACAAAAGGCTGCCCAAAAGGGGGATGAATATTTACACAGGCCGCGAGGCTGCGTGGAGCAGGGAGGGTTGGAGGCCGCGACGTCGGCCAGCCCGGCAGGCCGTCGACGGCGTCGTCCCGGCCGTCCCGGCCAGCTCGCCGTTTGTCGCGGCGTGGACTTATCGCGACGACTGAGGCCACTGTGCAAACAGCTCCAGCCTGTAAATATTGAAATTTAGCGTCCACCGTGGAACGCCGGAACGGGGGAAGGGCCCGAAGGATGCCGCCAGTTTGCCAGTGCGGTGGCGACGGTCCCCGTGGGGCAGGTCAGGGCCTCGACGCCGTCCCTCCGGAATGCCGTGCCAGTGGAGTGGAGCCGACCGCCGCGACCCCGGCACCGCGTCGTCGGGGTGCTGCAGCACGCTGGCCGCGCCGGGCGTTCTTGGTGTCGCTGGGGATCGCGGTTCGGTCTCCCCGGTCTTTTCATTTGTTGTTGTTGGTGGCGGTGTCCTGGTGGTGCCGCCGGGAGGGTCGCACACCCTTGTCACCTTCCTCGTCGCGCTCGTCGCCGTGGCGGTAATTGAGTTGCAGGGGTCATGAGCCCTCCGGGCCAGGCCGGGTCGGGCCCGCCGGCTGCGTGCGAACAGTGCACCCTCTTCGCACCGGCGTGCGAGAGCGACAGAGACAGCCAGCTCCGTTCGGAATCGGATCCTTTCGGGGATGATGGAGTGATTACAGTGCCGGCCCCTCCTGGGCTGTCGTCGTCGGCGACGTCGTCGTCGATGTCGTCGTCGCCCTGGGGCGGGCGGGGCGGGCGGGGCCCCCAGCCGGCCAGGATTTATCTGGTCGCCCGCCGAAGGGAGGCAGGCGGTGGGTCGCGAACCCGCCACCTCGGCCTCTGGCGGCGGCGTCGCTGCGCGCTCGGCCGTCGGAGAAGGCCGGGCGGGAGTTACCTGCGGCGGCCGCACGTCGCCGGCGACGCCGTCGGATGGGTTTGGCGCGGCACGCCGTGGGCACGTCGTGGGCACGCCGTGGGCACGCCGGCAGGGCGCCGGGGTGTGCTGCGACGCCGAAGGGAGCCGCAGGGAGCCGAAGGGAACCGCCTCCGTGCCCCGCCTGCAGATGAGCGCCGCGGAGGCGATCCAATCCCGCCCCGCCCCGCCCCGCCCCCGGGACGCTCGGAAGCCCCAGCACACGCCGCCGTTCGTGCCTGGGCTGCAATGCGGCCCGGGGTCCCAGATGTGGCATAACACGAGGTGCGCGCCAGTGGCGGATCCCGGATTGGCGGAGAGGGGGAGGTCGACGTCGACGGCCACTGTGTCCGTCCCGCCCGGCCGCGGCCCCAGGATGTGCTCGCGGCACACAGGCCGAGCAAGACGGCGGGGATCCGGCCAGAGATTTACGCAGCCCACTGCCCCCACTGGTCTTCGGGCTCTCGGCCAAGCGCACGGCGGCGACGGCCACGTCCAGGGTTCGACAGCGGCGCGCCCTTCACTCCCCCTTTCCCCCTCCCCTTCGCGCAGCACGCCGCTCACGCCGCCAGCATTCCGCCCCGGCCGTTTATTGCCGCCCAGCTGCATACAAAGGGACCGCGCCGTGCCGCGCCACGCCGCACGCAGTTCGGCAGGCGTGATCAGCATGGCAACGCCGTGGCGTGGCGTGGCGCGGCCGCAGGGGCCGATGGCGGATCCCGCCCTAACCCAATTCCCCCTTCCCCCTCGCTGGCCCTCCTGGTCCTGGATCCCTCCGCCATTCCCATGTTGATATAGCTTCCAAGGCGCTTCTCATTCTTTTGCGTTGCCGGTGTGCCCCCCGCCCGGCCCCGCCCGGCCCCGCCCATGAAAATGGGAAAAGATTGTCTGCGCCCTTCATCGCCCCGCCCCGCCCCGCCGCTGCAAATCGGTGAAGGGCTTTCGCGCCTCGCCGCGCACGCCGAAGGGAACAGTCTTCCCTCCCCCTTCTCCTTCCTCTCACTCTCCAACACGCACAAATTGTTTTCGGCTCGGTCCTTTGTAGTGTAGCGGTGACCCGCCCGGTGCACTGGCTGGGCCGGGCTGGGCTTGAAGAACCGGGCCGTGGCGAGCAGCGAATTGGATTGAATTTGAGTGTGAGTTTGTAATTGGCTTCTCTCTCGCGCCTAGTAGCCTCGCCCCAGGCGGGAGGGGGTGGCCTGGGAGCCGCGACAAGCCGCGCGATGTCCTGCAAGCCCGCCCGCCACACTGGAAGGGGGGTGCATGAATTATTGGACCGGCCGATGAAAAAGTGAAGAGCGGGAGCAGGACCCCCTCCAGTGCACCGCCGCGCCCGCGTCCTTAATGTGTTGTATACATAATGGCATTGTGTCTTACACGGATCACGTCATCCCCTCCTTACTGGTTCCTTTACGCCAAATCCGCAACCGGTGGGAGAGAGACAGACAGACAGACTCGGGCTATGGAACAACTGCGCCATTTCGGAGTGTGGGTTTGATTGGCGCATGGTATAAAATGGGTGAAATGGCGTATGCTGTCGACCAGCTGCTCGCCGGGTCGCTTTGGTGTGTGTGTGTGTGGGGGGGGGGGGGTGTTTTGATAGCGACGATGATAAAGGGAATCGAGGCGGGATAAAACTGGTGGCAATGACTGGCCGGCCTGCCTGATGCGGCGCGATGCGGCGTGATGCGGCGCGATGCGGCGTGATGCGGCCCCAGGTGAGGCGTGGCGTGCCCCATCCGCATCCCCCGAGGCTGCACCGCCGTCGAGGGGGGCACGACTGCCGCCCGTCCGGCACAGCCCGCCCAGCCCGGCCCGGGCAGGCTAATTGTTATGATTATTAGTATTTATTTCCCTGCGGTCGCTCACTGCCGTCGATCCCCGATGCAAATGACTCCGCGGGGTGGGGCGAGGCTCGTATTGCAGGGGAGCGCAAATTTGATAAATATTTGAGCGGCGCCGCTACGGCGTGTCCCCGCCGGTGCATGAGAACCGACCCTGCGCCAGGGCGCAGGGCCCAAGGTTTGCACAGTGGGCCGGAAGACCGGTGGAGGCGGCCGAAACTCTAGACGCGTTTTGAGCTCCAGAGTCGCTAAACAGGCCTTGAACCGAACGTGTGACCCCACCAATGGATTCCTCGCTCGGAGAGCAATCCATTGGTGGGGTCTCACGTTCGGTTCGAGTCCTGCTTAGCGACTCTAGAGCTCAAAACACGTCTAGAGTTTTGCCCGCCTCCACCGGTCTTCCGGCCCACTGTGGGTGGCTGCCAGGCTCGCCCTTTTCCGCTTTTCCTTGTCCCGCTCCGCGACAAGTGGGAATCATTTTTCATCCCCGGTGTGTGTTGTGTTTGCCTTTGCCCGCAAGTCTGCCCTCTGTTGTTGTTTTCGTCGTGTTTTTCGCCCGGTCGCCTTGTCCCCGTGTTTTTGTCGCGTGTCGTGTGCGCGAAAGTGCAACGCGGCACGCACACTGTGAATGAATGTGGATCGGATTGGCGGCCTTTTCGCGCGTGCGTCTCTCTCTCTTTCTCTCTCTCTCTCTCTCTCTCTCTCTCTCTCTCTCTCTCTCTCTCTCTCTCTCTCTCTCTCTCTCTCTCTCTCTCTCTCTCTCTCTCTCTCCCTCTCCCCCTCCCTTGCGTGTGGGGCGGCCCGAGTTATGCACACAGCATAATTAACGCGGGGTGCATCAAAGGGGCGCGGCAACACGGCGGCACCGCGGTCGCCGACCCGGCGGCACATTGATTCATAATGGTGTGGCCGAGCGGACGGACGGACGGACGGACAGGCAGACAGACAGACAGGCAGACAGACAGGCAGACAGGCAGGCAGACAGACAGACAGACAGACAGACAGACAGGCCGTCGTAGAGACTGACGCACGGGCAAGCGCCACTCCGAGTGCAACACACGCCAACACTCTTGCATACACACTCATGCGCGCATACTCACACATTGAGGGCAGGACAGCGAGGGGGGGGGGAGAGAGAGAGAGAGAGAGAGATAGAGAGAGAGGTAAAAAAGGGGCTCAGGGCGTGCGTGTGTGCAAACGGTTTTCTGAATGCATAGTTTACTTGTTTATGCAGCACTGAGGTGTGAATTAGTATAATAACAACGATTCATCTAGAGGCGCATCATCCCACCACACACGGTTATCTAACACCCGGCCTTCTTCTTTTATCGTAATTAGCGCTCTTCCGACTCGCGCATTCATTAATTCGATTACCGGGAACGCCATTTTGTTTTGTTTTCGTTTTCTCGCGCGGGACGACGCGTCGGTCGTCACTCATCACGACTATCGCCTTTTTTTAAATTTTAATTTTACTCGTTCTATTTCGGGACGTGCGTTTGAATGGCGCCGCTCTTCGGTTTAGTGGCTGTTTTGTACAGTGTGGGCGTCACGCGTTCTTATCAGTCATTGCCCATTGTTTCGTTCCCGGTATCGCGCCAAGCGTCATGAAAAGGTGTAGCGGCGTTTTATTATTTTTATTTATTTATTTATTTTTATTTATTTTTGCCGTGTGTGTGGACCGGAGGGGCTTTCAGACCGCGCCGTGTGTGGGCTACTGTGTGAACACGGGTCTTGTCGGGGCCCCGGGGCGCCTGGCCCCGCCCCGCCACGCCCCGCCACGCCCCGCCACGCCCCTCCCTGACCCGACACCTTGGGAGATGCACGCCTTAGATGAGATGTCTGTGTTATTGCCGACGGCGAGGCACTTGTTTGATATTGGCCGTGACGGTGTGTGTGTGTGTGTGTGTGTGTGTGTGTGAGCAGCTCGCGACGCGTAGCGGTACAGCCAGCTCAGAAAAGACAAGTGCGTTGGTCGAGGCGAAGCCGTCAAAACACGGCGGGTGGTGTCGCGACGGCGAGAGTCTGGACGCGACACTGTCTGTCGAGGTCAGGGAGCCATGTCCAACTCGGGCCGGGCTGCCCCCGGCTGCCCCCGGCTCCCCCGTCCGGACTACTAGTGCGGACCCACCTTTTTGCCCGGGTGTCGCCGTGGGGACGGGGCGATAGCATCAGCCACTCGTGCCGCCTGACCTTCGTCCTACCGTGTCGGCGGGGCGGGCCGGGCCGGGGCGGGCCGGTCCCTTGCTCCTGATCCTATCAGTTTCGTTTACCGCGCCGCCGATTTGCCGATGCGCTGATCTCATCTCCTGTGCCTTTTCTTTCTCCTCCTCCTCGCCGTCCTCCTCGTCGTCGTCCTCGCCGCCGCAATGCCGCCCTGGGCCGCCTGGGCCATCGATGCGAAAACGGAGGGCGCACAAAAGCGGCGGCTCGGATTTCGCGAGCGGCACTTTTTCCCCTTCTGCCTGTCTGTCTGTCTGTCTGTCTGTCTGTCTGTCTGTCTGTCTGTCTGTCTGTCTGCACGTCTGCCTGTCTGTCTGTCTGCCTGCCTGCCTGTCTGTCTGTCTGTCTGCACGTCTGTCTGCCTGCCTGTCTGCCTGTCTGTCTGTCTGTCTGCACGTCTGTCTGCTTGTCGCATGCTTGTCACAGCGTCGATAACTCGTCGTCCGGCATTGTGCGGCTGTCGGTGGCTGGGCTTTAGAATCGCTTATCGCCCCTTTCCCCGTCGTCGTCGTCGTGTGTCGCATGAATGTCAACACTCCCCGGCTCGTGCATTAATGGATTCCGGCTGCTGGCAGTTAGTCAATCTGGGCCGTTTTCACCGACAAACACTAGAGGTTTGGCCGCCGGCGCACAGTGGGCCAGAAGACCGGTGGAGGCGGCCAAAACTCTAGACGCATTTTGAGCTCCAGAGTCGCCAAACAGGACTCAAACTGAACGTGTGACCCCCACCAATGGATTCCGCGTTCGAAGAGCAATCCATTGGTGGGGTCACACGATCGGTTTGAGTCCCATTTAGCGACTCTGGAGCTCGAAACGCGTTTCGGCCGCCTCCACCAGTCTTCTGGCCCACTGTGCGGCGCCGCGGCGTCTGCCGCGTGCGAAAATGAAGCTGCGCGTCAGAGCCGAAAAAACAGAGTTTGGCAGTAACGACGCGCCGGTGGCACCGCTGCTTGCACAAGCCAGCACAAGCCTCTCTACCGGTACGCAAACGCCAGGGCCCCGCGATCCGAAAGCCGATTGAGAAATCTGCTGCTATTGGTCATTACGCCGAGGCCCCGCCGTCCAATTAAATCGCGACAAGCGGAACGCGTTATATACAGCGGCTTTTATTTACTGCTTTTATTCGTTCCCTTTCGCATTTTTTTTTTGGCGAGTGTTTATTCGGTTGGCAGCCGGAATTGATTGCTCCGCGGATACAGGGCTCCTCTCTGCCGTGAAACAATCGCACCGATGGCCGCCGATGGGCGATCGCATGCAAATGGGCGATTCGTTTTTACGTAATTTGCGGGGCCCTTTCGCCTCGCGCTTCGCGCCCGTCGTCTCGCTGGAAGGTGGCCCTTCCCCCTCCACTGTAGGCCGCTGCCTGCACCAACGCCCCCAAATAAATTCTTTTCGGATGGAAATGCTGTCTCCCTCCGCGGGGGTGGGGGAGGGGGTAATGGCTGCGTTGAGACGCGCGCCCAAGGGGAAGTAAGTGGGGCTTGTCAGTTTGTGGGGAGCCCCGCGGAGCTTTCGGTGCTTTTGGCGGCAAGTCGACGCAAAAGCGGCCAAGTGAGGCGCCAAGCTGCCGAGCTTTGACAGTCCCCGCTTCTTCTTCACTTTCACCTTCGTTTTCAGCTGCTTCGAATTTCTTCACCTGCTACTTATGTCTCTGTCTCACCTCAGCCTGTGTCTCCCTCCTTGAGTCTCTCCCCCCCTCCTCTCTCTCTCTCTCTCTCTCTCTCTCTCTCTCTCTCTCTCTCTCTCTCTCTCTCTCTCTCTCTCTCTCTCTCTCTCTCTCATCAAGTCCTCGGGCCGACGCGCGGGAGCGAGAGAGACGGGGCGAGTGATTGGCTCATATCTGAAACAACACGAGCCTAATTGATGCGGTGGGCCGGCTGGGGATTAGGTTGGCGCGTGGCAGGACGCTCGTTTGAGGGTCGCTGCCTGTCTGTCTGTCTGTCCGTCCGTCCGTTCGTCCGTCCGTCGAGGTGCCAGAGTGTTTGTTGCCGCTGTGAATGGACGAGTCAAACGATATACAAAATGAATGAACGAAACAGGAAGAATGTCCGGCCATTTAGCGTCATGTGATTACGCTCGGCCACCTGCCTGTGTGTCTGCCTGTGTGTCTGCCTGTCTGTCTGTCTGCCTGCCTGCTGCTGCTTGCCTGCCTGCATGTGTGCATGTCGGGCACTTCTGCACGTTGCACGCCTCTGCAGTGTACATACATACAGTGTATCGTCTGCCACAGCGAGGCGCGGAGAGCAAAAGGAAGGCGAGTAACAAGGTGTTTTTGTTTTCCCCCCTGTTGCAGGTGAACGAGGGTCGCGTCGGATGGAGCGTGCCTGCAGCGCGGGGCGTTCAAATGGTGAGTCTTGTTGTTGTTGTTGTTGTTGGCGGGGTGGCAATCCCCCGCGGATGGCGCCGAGCGTCTATCGCCGCCTCCGCCGGTCGTGGTCGTCGTCGTGGTCGTCGTCCGCGGCGGAGCTCTCGGCGTGGCGCGGCGCACATAACCTCGCCGTTTTACGTCGTCGTCGTCGTGGTCGTTGTCGGGGACTCGAAAGAAGCGCTCCGATGGTTTCATTTTCTTGTGCCGGCCGGCCGGCCCGGCCTGCTAGACGGCGACAATGGCGGCGACGTCGAAAAAACCGGCAGCACTTTTGCCAACCAGTTTTGCTGTAGTTGATTTTTTTCCGCGGTACATGTCGTGTTGGCGCTTTTTCACCCGCCTTTTTTTCGTCATCCCCGGATGAAGTGAGCGTTTTTTTCACGCTCACTGACGCGTCGGCCCGCCGTGGCGCGGTGTGGTGGGGCGGGGCGGGGCACATCCTGACCTTATGTCGTGGCCTCGCTTCCCCGCTGTCGCGCTGATGGCGGGGCGGGCGGGGCGCGCGGCCCAGTGCACATGAAATGCTGTTTATTACGGCCACTAAAACGCTGCCCGCTGAGGAGCTTCATCTGCGGGGGAGGCGAGGCGAGGCTCGAGGGTGCGGCGTCGGCGGCGTCGGGGCACGCATCGCGGAGCCGTCGGCGGGTGGGACGCCTCTGTACAGTGTGCGCAAGCAGCGCCAGCAACGCCAGCAACGCCCGCCGTCGTGTTTAACGCTCCCGGCCCGTCGCGTGCTAGGCGTCCTCTTCGCGCCGGAGCCCCCCTTGATCGTGCTTGGCCCCGGCGTGGCCCCGGCGGCGCGCTGGCCGTGTTGACGGCTTTAACGGGGCGTTTTATTGTCCGTTTGGTGCGCGGCGCGGCGCGCGAGGCCATCAACGCCGTGGTGCTGCGGGCCGCACTGCCGTACTGCGGCCCCGGCTATTTTGGCGGCTTTATGAGCACCGCGTCGTCCGGCCGTCTAGCAGCGCCGCGGCCAGGATTGGAGCACCCCGACGAGGACCCCGACGAGGACCCCGACGAGGACCCCGACGAGGACCCCGACGAGGACCCCGACGAGGACCCCGACGAGGACCCCGACGAGGACCCCGACGAGGACCCCGACGAGGACCCCGACGAGGACCCCGGCGAGGACCCCGACGAGGACCCCGACGAGGACCCCGACGAGGACCCCGACGAGGACCCCGACGAGGACCCCGACGAGGTCCCCGACGAGGACCCCGACGAGGACCCCGACGAGGACGCCGAAGAGGACGCCGAAGGAGACCGAAGCGAGAAGCAGCCTTATCCGACGAGGGTGGAGCTGAGCCGTCTGGAGTGGCGGCGCGGCGCGGCCGGGCTGCTACTTGGCACCCTTGTTGGCGGAGGGCCGGCGCGGCTTGGCGCGGCGCGGTCCGGATCGGGGCGGGGCCCACTAGGCCGGAAGGGCCGGCGGCCGGCCGAGTGCGCGGCTTGACGCCTGTGTATTTACCGTGGCGTGGCCTGCCGCCGTTTTCCGCGACTTTTCCGGCGTCCCTACACTGTGAGCGGAAGCAAGCGAGGGCCTGGCTGCCTCCGTGCATGCGCCGCGCCCTCGCCCTCCTTGCAGGAAAGGGCCCCGGAGTCGCCCGGCCGGAATTCGCGAAAGGGGAAGAAATGCATAAAGAGCGCGGGGCGGCGAGAGCACGGCGAGAGCGATGTCGGTGCGTCTCCCTTTGAGGCTTCCTTCCGCCGCCCCTTCCTTGTCTACACCATCATCTCAACCCCGCCGCCCCGCCGAGCCCCGCCGGGCTCCGGCCTCCGCCTCGCAGGAGGGCTTTTCGAGGGCCCCGCCCCGCCTCGCGGATCTTTTTCGAGCTGAAAGAAGTCTTTTTGTTGGAGATATCCGCCGCGCTGCTGGGGCTGTGTACCGTGTACAGCGCACCCGCGGCCAAAGAGAGAGAGAGAGAGAGAGAGAGAGAGAGAGAGAGAGAGAGAGAGAGAGAGAGAGAACTATGGACGGCGTGCCGGCGCGGCGCCAGATCGCCGCCAGGACTTGCCTCGCCAAGGCGATGCAGCGCGTGGTTTCGGCGAGTAACGAACGCGAAGCGCGAGACCGGCGGCTAATAACCAGAGAGAGGGAGGGAAGGGGGAGGCGAAAAAAAAAGAGACGAGAAGAAACTTGGCACATTAATGTTTGGCTCGGCTCCGACATCGTCACTGACATCATCATTACCCGCATTGAATGTCAACGCGCCACGCCGCCAAGCCGGCGGTGGAGAGGCGGAGCGAAAAAAAAGCAAAATAAAAAGGCAGCCGTTTTGCTGCCAACGGTTGGCAGCCCTTCATTGCTGCTGCACTGGAAGGCACTGGCAGGCATTCCGCGGCGTCTGCGCGCCGTCTAATTTGTCCCGCGAGTATCAGCGAGTGCGACGAGGAAGCGAGAGGCGCGTCGCCGAGTGCGACAGAGACAGACCGAGGTCGCCGTAGCCCTGCAAGGCGGTCACCACAAAGCGTAAAAAAAAAACTGCGGCATGTTAAAAATTTTGTTGAAATCGCTCACTCCCGCCGCACAGTGGGCCAGAAGACCGGTAGAGGCGGACAAAAGTCTAGACGCTCCAGAGTCGCGAAACAGGCCTCGAACCGAACGTGTGACCCCACCCATGGATTCCTCGTTCGGAGAGCAATCCATTGATGGGGTCACACGTTCGGTTCGAGTCCCATTTAGCGATTCTGGAGCTCAAAACGCGTCTAGAGTTTTGTCCGCCTCCGCCGGTCTTCTGGCCCACTGAGCTCCGTCGTCCTCGTGGACTCGGTGTTTGCAAAAGGCTCGACCGCGGAGGCTTTCCCTGCCTTTCCCCAAACGTGGTCCTTGTCCATAAGTTATGCTAAGCGTGTCGTAATAGTGCCTGGCGGGCAACAATCCGCTCGCCGAGTATAAATAAGTAACGGGTCCTTTAACTGTCTCGGCGATGAATATTTTACTGCGCGAATATTGAATAACGCGGTTTGCGCAGAGCCGCGCCGGGCGGTGACAGTGAGGGAGACACCCTCTCTCCCTCCCTCCGGTTGTCTCGCACTTTTGCTCCTTTGTGTCCTTTTTCTCTCCCTTACCCTTCATGGAAGGGCACGGCGCGGCGGCGGGCAGGTGGGATTCCAGATTCCAGCGCAGCAATTGTCTCGGCCGCCTCCCGGCTGATATGGAATTTGAATGTGATTCATGTCTCATTTCTGCCGAGAGGTTTTACGCTCTCGCGATGCAACATTGTGTTGGCGGCGCAGTAACTTTGCGAGCGCGACGTTGCCGACACTGCCAGTGTGTTCCAGTCTGGCCCGGCTCTCCAGCCCCCTCGCTACTGGAGTCCGGACTGGCGAGGCGAGACCCGTCCGGCCGAGATTCTTGGACCGGATATTGACTGGAATCTGCACCCTTTATCTGCCCCTCCTCTTTTCCTCGTTCTCCTCGACGCTAAACTCTGGTCGTTTTTTGCGCCGGCTCCCGGGTTTGTCACGACGGTTCGACTGCTCGTTCCATCTGGTGATGTATCTCTTTGTTTTGGGAGTGCCTTCTCCTCGGCGGGGCTCGGCGAGGGGCACCCATTTAGCGATAAGCTACCTGCCTACTCGTCGCGTCGTGACTCCTTTTTTTTTCCATTTTTTTTATTGTGATGTGGATCGCAGTTTGGAGCTGAGCCTTGCGAAGGCGCCTGGCAAATCGGGCGAGGCGTGACTCGTTTAAAAATTCGCAAAAAGGTGGTAGCAAAATTGCTTTTCTCTATTTTTTGATATTTTTGTTGGTGGTGGTGGTGGCTGTGGCGCGGCGAAGGAGGTAGGTGACGGTGAAAACTGTGGATGAGGGCAGGACGGGCTGCATGACCTCCTGGAGGCCGCGGAGGGGATTTGAAACGTGCGGCGGTATCCTGCAGCAGGATGGCGTCGTTGGAGGACAAGCACATCGTTGTCTTGTACGACGTCGCGCTGTTAGTGCCGCGGGCGGGGCGGGGCGGAGGGGCGCGCAGAGGGGCGGCGCCGGGCTTTACGATCCATAACGTTGGCCAAATGATTCGGAAACGGGGGCGGCGAAGTGACTGCGGTGGCCGCCCCCTCGACGCGCTTGGCTTGCTGCTGCCCGCCCCGCCACGAATGTGACCTGTGACGAGGCGAGGCGCTGACCCTGGCCGCCACGCCGCCGCCGACCTGTGCGTCAAACGGCACTTTGGGGGCGCAGAGCGCACAGTGGGCCAGAAGACCGGTGGAGGCGGACAAAACTCTGGACGCGTTTTGAGCTCCAGAGTCGCTAAACAGGCCTCGAACCGAACCTGTGACCCCAGCAATGGATTCCTCGTTCGGAGAGCAATCCATTGGTGGTGGGGTCACACGTTCGGTTTGAGTTCCATTTGGCGCCTCTGGAGCTCAAAGCGCCTCCACCGGTCTTCTGGCCCACTGTGGAGCGGAGGCAGGGCGACAAACATGGCGAGGCCCCCAAAATAAAGAAGGGCCCGCGACGGCCGCGAGGAGGCCGTCGTGGAGGAATAAAAGAAAGGAGGCTGGCTGCTGGCTGGCGGCGTGCCTGGCTGCTTGGCGGGGCGCCAGCCGGCCCGCCGTTGTCAATGATGCATGCCTCGTATTTAGCCACGTTATTTACGCCGCTTCGACGGGAGTGTGTCCTGACCGGCCTCACGGCTCCCGGCGAAGATCGTCGCCTGCTCGTCCACCAAGTGGCCCACCAAGTGGCCCACCAAGTGGGTCAGGCAGGGGCCGCGAGACGCGCTAGACGCCACACTGTTGGCACCGTTCCCCGCGAAGCGCCGCGCAGTGTAGGCACTGCGTGCGTCCCCGTACGAAACACCTTGGCTGAGAGTGGTTTGGATCTTGTCAGAAAGTTGTCTTACGATCCAGACGATTTGGAGACAGAGTTCAGACCGTCTCGAGAGCGTTTGAAGACAATCTTGAGAGTAGACCAAGACAATAGTAAGACGAGTGAGCCAAGCGAGCGGTGGGCTGGATCGCGGGCCAATGTGGTC